CGCACTCGTGTTTGAAGCGACGATTTTGTTGGCGGAAAATGCTCTTCACGAGTTCTTGAGCAATCCAGAGGACGAGAGTCAGCGGTCTGATGTGCTATTATGTGTACTGCCGCATCTTGCTAAAGCACGTGAATTTATTCGGCTGCATAGTAGCAATTTTGCGTTTCAAGGTTTTGTGACCCTGACGTCCATTTTCCTTTATCTCGTACGAGACGATACTCGTGCGCTAGAGTACGACTTCCCAGCTCATTTTGACGCAGTCATGCACCATCCGTGCTTCATTTACACAATACAAAAGCTGGACGATGACAGCGTACGGATACGTCTCCTTCGCGTCATTGCACGTCTTATTGATATTACAAGCAACTACCCGCGCTCGCTTTTGCAAACGCTTCTTGGTGCGTATTCCATGTCACTGTCTCCATTTGATCGCAGCTTGCAGGTCCTGTTTGAAGCGTTTGAAGCGCAACAAGTGAATGAACTGACACTATCCAGCTTTGGCTTTCGTTTCAGTGCGTCGTCTACAATCTCGTTATCGACTAAGGATTCTCACAACGATCTAGTCGACGACTCTGCTTGGCTTCTGAATGGCGGACTCGAACTGAATCGCATCCGTGCTACAATTGATGACTTTCCCTTAGACCGCAAGATCTCGACGGTTGATGATGTTTCGCTTTTACAACTTGATGTCAAACAACCAGAGGGTGAGGTCGAGGCGATGGTGGAAACGAATTCGCAAGTGTATGATCCAGCGTTCCTCTTACCCATGCTCTCTCACTTTATCTCGTCTTCTAATCTGTCAGAACGTGACATTGTGCAACAGGGTCTCTTGGGTATTGCTATTCGCGCCACGTCGTCATCTGTTGCAGCAGTTCGAGAGTACGCCTTTGGAATTCTTGCTCATCTACACGAAAGTCTTCAAGCGACGACGGAAGCTTCAAGTGACTTCAAAGCGGGACGACAAGTCCATTTACTACTTGATGTTTTCCGTCGTAAAATTCAAAAACCGCTTGAACAAGTGCCGTCGCTAATAACTGTCTTTCTGAATGATGCGCTAGCCGTGTTGGTGCGACCCATGCACGTGCTGTATCCTCACGTGAATCATTTTCTTTTGGCGCGCCCAGCAATGGATCTTTTGGACGTACCGATGTTTTACTCGCTCTTTAACAGTCGATCACCGCTAACATTCCGGCAAGAGCGTTCGTGGCTTCTTCATACACTTCGTCGTGGTATACGCAACGATTCGGACGTGATGCTGCTCAAACGCCGTCACGTACTTCCGATGCTCTTAAGTTTTTACAGCTCGGAAATGGCTGACACTCACACTCAACCACTGATCACGAGCATCTTGTTGACGGCACTGCGTGCACCATCAGGATATGTTTATTTAGTGCTCAAAGCCGGTTTACTACCGTGGATAGCGGAGCGATGTATCGAACTTGGAGCTGTGATTGCTAAGTCGGACTCAAAGAAAGACGCTGCTCAATTGTTTTCCTTAGTGACGTTATTGGAACAAGCCCTACAGAACAGCGTTTGGAACGCGCTTGAAGCAATCAATCAGCACACGACGGCTCTACAGACAATAAGCGCTTTTTCTGCGATGCACGCTGCATTTACGATGCGTCGCACTGAATTTACGACCGAATACTTAGCCAAAGCTTCTGCTGTTGCAGTACTCGTTGTTCGACGCGCTGGAATCATCTCTCCACTCGAGCTTTTGTTGCAGGCTTTTAAGATGGTTCAGGACAGCAAAGCACTTGAGTGTGCTGATATAGTATGTAGCAATCTTATTCAGTGGATCCTACAGCAGCGTCATCGTGATGCCCAGAAAACACGTTTTAGAGACTGGGCCATCTTGCTTCAGCAGGTGGCTTCTATTTTAGTCATGTGGCACTCAAAAGGTACTGTGACACAACAGCAGCAAGCAAGGCGGAGTTTGAATCAACTTAAAGCTGTTTTGGACCAAGTGCCGACTTTGAAGCAGCATGTTTTAAGTGCTGACTTAAAAGCAAATTATGCTTTAGCATTATTATGATCATGCAGTAAAGAGCTCGAATGTAAACTTGAATTTTGCAAGGAGCCACTGTGAATTTTGTGTAATATTGGAGACTTTATTTTTTTCACCTTTCAATAAGTAGATGGTAAGTCGTTTCAATACCAACGAAAATCTAAAACACCGTTTCCTGGTAAAAACGGATGTGGCATTTTCATAAACGAATCTGCTGAAAACAATTCTGGAGACTCGTACTTGATTTCGATTGAATGGATGAGGTGATTTTAAACGTACGTTCCAATAGTTTGTCACGTTATACGTCAGAATCGTCTAATTGTTCTAAGCAGGAGACTCAAACTGATAGTGCAGTTCAAGGAGATGGAATGGTAAAGTTCGCGATATGTCCATTTTGTTGACCGGGTGTATGAAGATCGACTCACATCATATTTTTATTTGTAGGATGAATTAGCGCAAACCTCGGCAATCAAAGCAGCTGAAATGGAGTTTTCTAGTGATTGTGCTTCGACTGATACTCACCCGACGCTGTCCATTCCTCTTGGAAGTATAATTGAGCTTACGTGTGACCATATATGTGCATCTTCAGCAGAATCTGAAAATCTGAAGGCGTTTGCAAGTTTAGATAAGCAACGCAAAAGAAAATTGAACATTAGTGGGTGGCTTGAACGAAGCGATGGATCATGTCAGCGCTCACATGTTAGCGCTTTGATTCGCGAAGATGCAGAACACTGTGATAATCAGTTATGTCTTCAAGTACAAACTAGCAACGATAAAGTAGTCACTCTCCGATTCGAACTAAGTCCTGACATTGCGATTGACCCTCACCCTCAACTCGTTGTGAAATTTCGTTCGAAAACATCGCGAAAAATATCAATTCGGGTTACGCTTAAGTACTTACTGCAGAAGTTCAGGGTCGGTATCGCTATTCAATGCAACTTGCAGCTTTTAGATGAAAATGAACACTCTTGTGGGCACATGGTTGCAACTTTACGCGGTGGCTTGCTGGCTGATCTGGATAATAACCATCAAATGTGGGCACCAGTGTCGCTTCAGGCCCAACCATGTATTCTGACCGTTAAAGTTATTGACACTCAAACTGTTGAAAGCGACGATCAAGGGTTGCCTTGCTCTGCAAATATTTGGTCAAGTCGAACAGGAAAACTCTGCGGTCAAACAATTTCGGGGTTGATTTGGAAGAACAATGCCGTTTTTACCGAAAATGGAGTAGCTCAAGCCGTGTCTTTACAAGTGATGGATGCGGCCACAGATGTCGTATTTGTAGGAATCTATCGGCCAAGTCGCCACGAGCGAAACGAGTTGTTAGGACTTGGAAGAATTTATGTTCACATGCCGGACTCAATACCAGACGACGGTAGCTGTGAAACCCAGTCTACTGAACAGCTTTTACGTCTGTACATAGAATCGTTAGGTGTGAAGCGTGAATGTGGATCCATGGCAGTTCTGATAAACAGATTTTATGAAACCAAAGATTCTGATAAGGATCCATTTGTTTCGCTTGCTGCTACTGCGCTAGCTCGTATAGCTTACCCAACGGAAAGCGCTGAAATGAAGTGTCGCTTTGATATCGACATCCTCGAGCTACAAGGCTTATCTTTTAGTATTTTCAAAAGCGACGACATATTTTTACGCCTTTGTATAGCTCAAAGCGGCTGGAACACCGAGCTTTCTTCCGGAAAATTAGGCAATGATGGCAATGTTCGAATTGGCGAGAGGGCAAGTGCTATAGTCCGCTGGACTACAAAAGATCGATCATTCCCTATGCTGGAAATTTCAGTGTATGCTCGAAATCGAAGTCAATACAACAAAAGGAGTTTGACGTCAAGGGCTTCACTAGCGCCTCATTTACAATCGAAACTGAAGCAAACATTCAAAAGAGAACAGGATCTCATTGTACCTATCGCTCCGGTATTGATAGGAACTGGCAGTTTTAATCTGTGTTCTTTTTTCTTTCAGCAAAATATTTCAGTGCCGGCAAATTTAACACTAGAAATGGAGCAAGATATTCTGAAAGATTATTCAAAAACGGTGTCAGTGGTTACTAGATTAAGAGCTTCCACGTCGCTCGATAAGGATCTTAAGTCAATTGAAATATCAACGGTACCTCAATTTATAAAGGGAGATGTGTGTATTCGTCTTTTGCAAGGTAGCGGTGAAATCTTTCGTAAAGCCGACCTGATGTCGCGATACTATGTTCTCATTTCGTGTGGAGTTGAAAAAGTCCAGAGCAGGTTTGTTACACTGGATGCCATACATAATAAAATCTGTACGCTATATGAAAATCTGCTGATTGGCTGCATAGTTGCTGTCCTGTAGACACTGATCGTACGGTCACATGGAATCAACAATTGGCTCTATCTATCACGGGTGCGGATTCACCTGTCGTTTATCTCTCACTTTACCAGCGAACAATTGATCGGATCTCCTTTTCTGTAAACGATAATGTATCTAATCATGATCAGCTGGTTGGGGATGTGACGCTTCCCCTGTTCCCGTCAATATTGGAAGACAAGCATCTCTTACAACTTACGATTCCTTTCGGAATGCCTTCCATGGGCAAAAATTGCAATCAAAGTGATATTCGTCATTACCAGAAACGGGGACTGTTGTCTTTGGAAATGCAATTTATCTCCACTGATTTATCCAATCCAGCTGCATTGGAGTATCAAGACACATATGAGCTGGTGATACATCAAGTGCGTGGAAACTTTCAACGGGTTCCTGGTCTAACCAGATATCTGATTTTCAATATTAGTATCTTGATTGATCGTGGTGATGCTTCAGAGGAACTTGCCATAGGAACCAGTGATGCCATGCCCATTTTGCCATCCACTTACAACGAACTCAATTTAGTTTTTGATCTCAGCAACCCGGAAATTGCAGACACTTTAGCAAGTGAGTCAAACATGGTCATTATTGTGCGAATTCGTGACAAACTTGGAGATAAATACGGTTGTGTACATTTTCCTCTGCGTCGAGATTGGAAGCAAAGTCTGAATCATCGAAAGAGATTGACGTGGTTTCCGATTTGTGAGGAGTCAAGTACTGCTGATGTTAATTTGACAGAAAATTCAGTCTCAATGTGCATACAGACTCGTCAACAAAGCAATAGAAAGGCTCAATACAGTGCACGAGGCAAGTTTCATATCAACATTTCCGAAGCAATTCAAACATCAGAATGTGAAAAGTCAAACTCTATGAAACAAAGGAGTGACGGGGGAGCCAGCATTTTAATCTCGTCTAGCTTAACAAATGAGTCGACCAATGTGATTCGCTATCGTACGAGGCAAGCTACAGATCAAAATAGCAATCGTCATTGGCACTGGGAAAAGGAGTGGTTTGTATTTGATCATAACATTGACGTATCTGCCTGTCAAGATCTTCAAGTCTCTATGCAAATTGGCGTAACTAGACACACAATTCTTGACGGTAAACTTCTTTTGGCTCCAACGATCAAAGATGCTACCCTCAAGCGCTTTGATCTATGGCTGCCTTTGTCTGACAATTCAAGAACTGACGTCACTTGTATAGTAGCTCATCTGCACGTTGTAATTGTTTATGTTCCAACAATTGTCGGCACTTTGAATATCGAACTGAGTGAGAATTTCACATGCTCCGAGGCTGAACGATTGCTTCACATAGAAACTGTGTTTTACAAATGTATGCTGGGCAAGACTAGTTCTAGCACAGTCATTGAGGAGCGTGATAGCCCTGAGAGTAGTACAACTAAGCTAGTACGACTACTCATCGATACTCGACTGGATGACACGGCTGAGATACCTGAACTTGTGATTCAACGAATTGGACTGACAAAACTACTGGGAGAGATTTGCTTAGACATAACATCGATGGACTTATTAGCTATATCTGAGCTTTGCTGCTTGGTACCCTCCACTAATAATCGTCCAAAACAATTCGTTTGGTGCAAATTTACCGACAAAAGTGATCGAACAAAGACGACAGGAGTTACGAAATTGCGACTATGGTTTGACCCTGCCCGAAATTTAATATCTTCTGAAAAGACTAACACAGTGGAAACGATTGAGAGTGTGGTAGTAGCTGATGCTTTCACGATCTGGAAAAAGCTTTTTTACTTGTTAGACCAGAATAATAATGGCTACATCGACCGCAATGAATTCGTAAATGTCTTTTTGGATCATTTTGAAGGTACGTCGTTTATTTCCTTCGTTTAACTGGCTGAGTCTTTGGATTTAAATAATGGAACCCACTTAATTTTCTTAGAGATTGCGGACACTGTCGACGGTCAAAAGCTTCTTCAGTTGCTCTTTGCTGACAAAAATAAGCAATCGAATCTTATTGCTCCTACAGAAGAGCAAATCAAGTCACTTTTCAATGCAATGGATTCCAACAGCGATAACGTGAGTGATGCCATTTGCATGCTAAAATATTCGAATGTATCGCATCACGTGAGATGCTTTGTAGGAGATTGAATGGTTGGAGTATTTGCAATTCTTACAACAAAGACAGCAGTTGAATTGCGAGAAAGAGAAAGAAATCGATATAATTATGGCTCCTGATGCTTTAGGCAAAACGCTCAATCAAAAGCTAGAGCTGAACAGCGATGAAAGGCACTCGACGCGTCACTCAAGCGAATCGAGTCAAAAAACTGATCCTTTGCAAAAGGACAAAACGATAGGCTGCGTCTCTGCTGTGGGATATCCCACGTTCACGCGTTCAAAAAAGACATCATTGTGTAAAAAGAGACTGCATGAATTCCAGTTTTCCAACCAAGAGCAGAGTCGATTGCTAAAACAGATCTCATCATTAGAAACCATTCTTGCTATAGAACGAAAACGTTATGCTGAGGTCACCACGGAATATCAAGCTTTGGTGCGATCATATCAGCGATTGCATTTAAAGCATCAAAGTGAATTAATTCTGAAACATACCAAGACAAAGATTATGAAACAAACTATTGAGCACCAGCAACAACAACTTGAAGCGCGAGAGACGCTCCGTCGTAATAGAAACGAAGCATCGATAATGCTGCAATCAACTGTCCGATCACGCTTGGAGATGAAGCGATATCAAGGAATAAAATTTCAGCGAGCAACGGCAGCCATTACTATACAGTGCATGATACGACGCGTGAATGCAAGGAGACAACTCCAAGAGCTTTACAACAGAGATCGTCTGGCTAAGCAGCGTATTTGTGCAGTTTTAAAAATGCAGAAATTTATCCGTGTTCAAATGGTTTTGAGAGAACGCGCTTCGTTTCAAGAAGCCAAGATTCTGTCGGCAACAATACTTCAAAAAAATGCTCGTAGATTGCTTGCGAGTACGAAGTGGTGGAGTCAAAAAACTGCTGTATTGAGACTTCAGTGCTGGTTTCGACAGCGTCTTGCAGTGCAACACTTAATCATGGTTCGAGACGCAACCTCAGTTGTTGGAATGATCATGTTGAAATGGATTTTACGTTGGCAATATATTCATTTTCGAAAAAATGTTCGCAAGTTACAAAGCTGGTGGCGACGAGTATACAAAAAGCGCTTTATAGAATCGTCTACAAAAGCCGCGCTTTATATCCAGAAAGCTTGGAAGAGAAAACGCGCGAGGAGACGATCGGAGTGTGAAGAGGAAAATTTAGCACTAATAGAGGCAGCGATATGTATTCAAGCAGTATGGAGAGGGAGACAGCAGCGCTTGCTATTTAGTTTAGTGCGCAGTGAAGCAAAGACATGGTTTGATGATGAGAGCGCAATTGACGCTTTAGTGTACAACTTAGTGGCCATTGTCGAGGCTAATGTCGTATAGATGCAAGTGTGCTTGAAGTGAGTGCTGATATTTTCAGAAAAGAAATCGATAAGATTTTGGTATTCATGCATGCACATTAGGATTAGAAGCTGATATTAAGACTAAGTGTATAGTAATAATTTTTATCGATATCCGAGGTGATCGCTTTTGAAAAGATTTCAGCTGCCGAATCCCACATGCTACCTGTTTTGAGACCGAGTTCCGTTTCCCTCATTATACTATGAGGCTTTTTCGGTCAGTAGGGCCTCCTCCCACCCAACTATCACACACCCAATTTGGTGCAGGCTGGCAGGGCGGACACACCACAGGGGTCTGAGTGCTCGTCCACTTTAGTGACCTATCAACGGCCTCCTTGATTCGGATCCTATGGGTATCGAAAAAGGTACCTCCCGGTCCCAGGAAGGTATCTGCATTCTATCGACGTAATTAAACAAGTTTCATCATACTTTTAGGGGGTGCTTTCCTATTTACTGTTACCTATACTATGGACTTATGTGTATGGGTAGTTTATCGACGTAGAATGCACGCTGTAATTGCATATCCGAGATTGTGCAATGATCCAGAACATTTACAGGGCATGTAACATAGTGTGATATGTCCACGGTGAAAGAGAATAATTGTCTTGCCTTACAGATCTCTAGGCAGCCACATGGTGATCAAGTTGTGGCAAGATGATATGATTATACCGTGTCTGTTAAAAGAATGAAAATTAGTGACAGCATCTTGATTTGATGACGGTGGCAATTCTAAACACCAGCGATATACTCATGGCTAAAAAGCATGCTATCTGGGAAGAAAAGCTCAAAAGGCCGGGCGAAAACATTCACGCGACTATTAACAATTAAAATTGCCGCGTTGAGTGGGTGTCAACCTCTTTATTTGTCGGTATCACACAGGCTGAATTCAAGAACCCCTGTCAAGCTGTAAATCCCCCACGAACTCAAGTTTCATCATGGAAAATCATTACTTTCAAGATACATTCATCCTTCGACTGTCGCACCAGCCTTGAGTCCATGTTTTGCTTGTGTTGATCTATCATTTTATCGTCAGATCCTTGATAGTTCGACTCGCTCCCATTTACCATCAAATACACCGGCCCAATCACCATTCCTACCGAGTTGATGGACGGACGGACATCTGAGTCAGCTGCTGTAGGATAATCGCTAGTAGCAAGTTCCATCTCCGAAAGCCCTCTTTTGTGTTCGCTGGAGCGGGCTTCGATGCTGCCTCCCTCTGCACCTTCAGCTCTAACCGTGAACCCGCGGTAGCTGAAGTCTTTCGAAGAAGATATTGGTCGCGATATGGTCGTTGTTGATGCTGCGTGGGGCCTCCAAAGCCGCCCACCGTCGTGTTAGACGGCGCCTTTGACCGACTTAGTGTGACTACGCAGAACGCCCTTCAGGACACGATTACACGCTCTGATTGACCGTCTTTTCAAGGTGTGCCGCTGATGACATAGACAATTTCGTGCCCAATAGTCCAGACAGTGCACGCGAAAATTTCGACGTAAAACGGGTGTCACAGTCAGACACAATCTCAACAGGAAGGCCATACAAACGGAAAACAACGCCTCCCAAAATGGTGTTGGGACACCGAGCATCGGGAGGCTTTTGACAGGGTCAAAGACAGCCTTCTTCATGC